TAATTCCATCTGCAAAGTCCTTTTTGCCATGTAAGGTAACACATTCACAGTTTCCTGGGGATTAGGGCTTGGACATCTTTAGAGGCTGTTATTCTGCCTATCACAGGGACATAATTTCTTTGACTGGCTTGTCCTCCCACAAAACTGTGAGCTTCCCAAGGGCAGGTGCCATGCCTGCATCAAGGCCCTCTAATCCTCTCTCACTTACCCAGTTCCTGTCCATCATATCATAACTCACAATTAGATATTTATTTGCTTAACTCATATTTCTCTGCATCCCTCAATTAAAGATTAAGAAGTCAGGGTCTCTGTCTGCTGTGTCCGCCACAGAACACCCAGCACCCAGCTCTGGGCCTCACACTGAGGGGGCCTCGGGCTTTGAGGTCAGCAGGAAGTGGATTGGATCCTCGTTTTCCTCAGGGGCCTTTTTTTTTCTACTGAGGAAGATCAGCCCTGAGCTAACATCTGATGCCAGTCCTCCTCTTTTTGCTGAGGAATATTGGCCTTGGGCTAATGTCTGCGTGCATCTTCCTCTACTTTATATGTGGGACGCCAGCCACAGCATGGCTTGTTAAGTGGTGCATAGGTCCGTGCCGGGGATCTGAACCTGCATACCCAGGGGTGCCAAGCAGAGTGCCTGAATTTAACTGCTATGCTACCAGGCTGGTCCCTTCCTCAGCGACTTTGAGCATTCTGCTTACCTTGATCGTCACAGTTTTCATATGTATAAAATGGAGACAATGATAATATCTTCCTTATGGGGTTGTTGTGGGAAGTTCATGAGATTAGCAAGCACCCAATAACGTGTTCTCTAAATATTAAATATTCAAGGAAAGCATGAATGAAGGACATGTCAAGAAAAATGTATGTGGGATGAATGGATGAGGGAATACATGGGCTTCCCTCCTGGACACTCGCTGTCTTATCCTGTCCTAACTGTTCTGCTCTGACTCCCTTCTCTCTCCCTCCACTCAGGGTCGCCTGATTGAATCCCAGAAGGGAAGCTTCCCGGACCACCCTCCTCCAGATGTGGCTGCCCCCTGCTCAGGGGAGGACGAAGAGCTCCATTATGCATCTTTCAGCTATAGTGGCATGAAGCCTCGGGACCCACAGGAACAGGAGGCCACTGGTAGTGAGTACTCAGAGATCAAGATCCATAAGTGAGAAACTGCAGAGACTCAGCCCTGGCTTGAGGGATCATGGTTCCTGTGGTTAAAACAAAAGTCCTGGGCTGATTGCTGTAGAGTTAAAAATCCCTGTAAATAGTGTAAAGAGCACAGACTTTGGAACCAAAGAGTTTTGAGTTTGAGTCCACACTCTGCCTCTTGACTAAGTAAGTGACAGACCAACTCCTACCTCTCTGCCTCAGTTTCCTGCTCTGTGAAACCTGGATGAGAAGCCCCACCTGCAAGTTCATAGTGAGAATTCTGGGAGTCAAATTCTATCAGAGCACCTGCCACAAAATGTATGCTGAACACATGCTGAACCCCGGTGCTTTGAACAGAAAAGTCCTGCTGGGAATTTCTCCTGACTCTGGAAGGGACCAGTGTCACATCTCAGATCTTGCACACAGGTCCCTTCTCCTGGAATGTCCTCCCACCAGGCCTTCATCTGCCACTGTCTTTGAAAGCCGATCTCCAGAGGTGAACTTCTGGGTTGAGATGGGAAAGCCTATCTGCAGCTCATGGTCTCCCCTATAGAGACAAATCAAATGAATGAGGACGGTTCCCAAATGGTCACATCACCATCTGATGAATGAAACAACATGATCTCCATATTCTCCTACAGCACCCAGACGAAGACAGGAATATATCACAGCAGTCACTTCATGAACTAGCTTCTATGGAAAGAAATCAAAGGATTGGATGAAGCTTTAAAAATTCCCTACAAATGGACCCCTGCCCATTTATAACAGCAGCAAGAAACATAAGGCATCAAGGAACATTTTTAAAATTTAAACAGGCAATACCTCCATACTGAAAAATACAGAATATTGCTGACAGAAATTAAAGAAGATCCACATGAATGAAGAAATATACCATGTTCATGGATGGGAAGATACAGTATTGTTAAGATGTCCGTTTTCTCCATATTGATTTCAAATAATCCCAGTCAACAGACATAAAGCTAGAGTCATCAAGAGAGTGTGGTGTGGACAGAACAGAGTCCATAAATGGACCCACACACTATACAGAATCCACTGAACTACACCCAGTCTATTCATTTAGGAAAGGAAGGACTAACCAAATTGGTAGAACAAGTGGATTAAGGTTTGGAAAAAATGAACCTTATAAATGATACATTTGGTTTATATAATTTGAATCATGCAGTTTGTACTCGTGGTTTTTTCATTCAGTCTTGGTGTTTTTGAGATTCATCCATGCTGTTGTGAGTATGAGTATTTTGTTCCTTTATTGCTGAGTAAGATTCCAATATATTACACTTTG